TCCACCACATAGCAAACAAAATCATGTCCTCTCTGTAGACATAGATGCCAGAAATGAAATACTATATGACAGTAAAACAAGAATACAGTTTAAAAGGGGAGTGATTTGTAAAATATCCATAAAGAAAAAGTAAATCTGTCTGCAGTTCTGTTTCATNAAAAAAAAATCTTCCCACGCACTTATAAAAATAGCACTTTACCCCTGCTTACACCAATATGCCGTGTGAGCTGATTATCGAGCCTTCATTGTAACAGTCGCAGGTGTACTGTGTGTATGTGCGTGTGGAGAGTGTTGCAGTACAACATTCCACTGTAGCGCCCGGCACATTAATGGGAAACGCAATGTTTGAGCACCCTCTACGAAACGTCAAGCTACCCCACACCACCCCCAAAAGAAAAATATCTGGCGCCGCCACTGTTCTGGCTTACTATGTAAATAAGTTATTGGGCTTTTTTATCAACTAAGATTGACTGAATTTATTTGAAAACCTACCGCAGTTAGCCCATTGGCCCCATAGTTTGTTTGGACACCGCTGCTGAGAGTAATGCGTAATAAATGTCAACAATGGGTTTCAGAGGGCGGGACTTCAGATGTGTCAATCACGCTGCTCCAGCGACAAATCACAGTTCAAGCCTCCTTCTAAACATCGTTTATCTTTAACTTTCACTTTCGACTCAGCGCTGACGGAGGGTATTGTATACGAACTACGAAGGTAGATTGGAAATACTTTCTAGAATATTCTATTGTTTTAGTTGAGTGATTGACGGCTAACATTATCAAAATCTGTTTATAATTGTCCAAATAATTGAAATCAAGCTTCGATCAGATCAGAGATTACTTTCGTTTTCCGCTCACAATCTTCGTCTTTCGAGTTGAGCTTGTCAACACTTCAAGTAAGTTTGTATCCAAATATTTCACAAGAAAAATAAGATATGACTACATTGGAATCCATGTGTTGAATCTGCCTGTCTGTTTTGTTTCCCTCTGGTGAAGTCATGACGGAGAAAATAAAGGAGGAACACCAGGGTGTCGTTCTGCAAGGTAAGTGGCCATCTTTATAGAGGATGACTATTGAAAATAAACTATTAGCATATTATAGTACTATGTTTCAGTTTTAAAAGCATAGATAAAACAAACCGTGTTGTTTCAGAGGCAGACTTACGCAGCGAATCTGACATCCGGTCACTGACTGGAAGAAACCTACTTAATACCTAATTACAAGCTTAAATGTGACATTTAAAAAAAGTCTTCAAGGACAGAAACTAGCAAATAGTAATGTTCTCCTTCAAAATGATTCTATAATATTTTTGGTTTAGATGCATGTTGAACAGCTCCTAAGTGAAGTAAAATGCTTCATAGATGAACTTGACATAGGTAGGTACAGCCTTGTAACATAACAAACATTTTTTTTAAAACACACACACCTCTCTCTCCAGCTGCTCAAAACAACAATGAGGTATTGGTTAAGAACCTCTGTATCCTGAAAGGCATGAGGACCAACATAATGAAGTTCCTTGATGATAAGATTCATTTTCTGGAAGGAGTTTCGCAGCTTCAAATGTTTCCATTCCATTTACTTATGACATGTTACACTAGTAATTTGTAGTAATTAAAAGTAGAAGCATTTGAGAAACCGTTTAGACTCAAAATAGTTTCAGTTGATTTTCAAAGTAAATCTAAATCTCTTCCTCCAAACTTTCTTGATGTAAAAGATTGTCTTATGTTAATGTTTATAGCAGCAGCCTCATTGATGTGCTTCATTTGGTTGCATACTGCGATTTTTTTATTTCAATGTCATTGTACTTTAACGTTATCGCAGGGAAAATTGAAACGCAAACAATTTGACAAGTCAATTGAATTTAATCTGCTAAATCCAAGCAGATTTCTATATATATTCTGAGATATTTTTCTATAAATGAAACTATATTCATTTTTAGCCACAACTGCGCAACGTGGGTGTACATGTATTGAGAAACACATTTGGGTCTACTTTGGTACAATTAAATAGGGATAAACTGTGATGTGGTTGTACATAACCTTTCCAGCTGATGTGCCCTATGTGACCAACCTTCCATTTCTGCTGAGGAACAGTGTTTGTTTTCCATGGAAAAACGTGACTTTTTTTTGTAAACCCTTCATAAAAAAATCTGTGTGTAAGGCAGTGTGTAAAGTATTCCTCTCAGCCATCTTACTGTATCCAAACTTTTGAATGAGTGTGATTGAATCTGACTAATTGATGTTGCTTTTTTACTCATTAGAAGAGACCTTTGAAGATGTGAATGAACGAGAAGGTGAGTGAACACATGGCTATAGACTACGTCGTCATATATTTGGTCATAGCAAAACACATAATTGTATTCATGTTATAGGTTCTCTCAATATATGTAAGTGTAATAATCAGTTTGATATTTTCTTCCATTTTCCTCTCAACAGGTAAATTGGTGTACCATATGGTTGTTACCGGGACAACCTTTGGTGCACATGATCAGCTGATGGAGAAAGTGAAGAAGGAAGTTCAGGATCAGTTTGATCTTGTTCAGAGCAAAGATGACAAGGACTACGACGTCACTATTGTCTTCTGCCCCATCGTTTCTCGCATGGGTCCAGATGTTGAGTCAGCCATGAGAGATGTTAAAGGTAAGGGAACTTTTGTTTCAGCCTGTTCATACTGAATGGAAATGGCTTATACATTTGTATCAACATATACAGTAGGTTATCTCTTACTTGCATAGTCAGGTTTTAAAATATTGATGTATTTGTTTAAGAGTATATTATTGGTATTTATAATTTAAAAAAAATGCCATGATCATTTAGCGTCTCTTAGAATTCCTTTTCACACCAAACCTTACATTTAAAGCTTTAATCTAAAAAGGTCCTCCCTAATTATCAAATGTATCTTCCTCTCTTTTTGTGTCTCCAGGTGATAAGCCTGTCATTCTGGTCTTGATGCACCACGCATATAAGGTCAAGTTCATTCCAATTGTGAAACCTTCGTGTGACGGCACTGACATTCAGTTGCTTGTCAACGTTTTCTTCCACGAGACCAAACCTGGATTACTCCACTGTGAAGAAAATAGAGCTGCTGCTTGCGAAATAATAAAAAAAATTACAAGAGTGCCCTATTGTTAAAGCCCAGGGTCCGGCTGCTGGAAATAGTTTGACTGCTAATTCGAAGTCCAGCAGTAACAAGACAAGTTACCACAAATGCTGCGTAAATTAAAACAACAAAGTGTAATGAATCAGAGATCCTGTATTAGTTTCACAGCAGGGAAATGTGCATTGTTCCAGCAAAAGTAGCATAGTAGCAAAAGTAGCATCGCAGGTAAAAAAAACAAACATGCAATAATACAGCATACGCTAATTTATTAAAACAGAAAAGAAAAGCACACATTAGTTATACCAGAATACAAATAAAGACAAATAAGTAGGTAAGAACGCAACTATTGCTAAAAATGATGATCAGCAACTTCAGAACTTAGTGACATATATAATGTAAGGTGTTGAGACATTTCAAAAACATGTTGGGACATTCATTACAATGATGGCTTCACATAAGGAAGATTATTGCATGGTATTTCAAGAAAAGTGTCTATTGCACGCAGTTTCCTCAGCCGGTACAGTCTGCTCTGACCGTTCTTGAACTGGGCAGCAGAGTGATCTAACAACACAAGTCAAGCAGTCAAAATGTGATTGATTAGACAGTTTGGATTTTACTCTTCTTCCGATTGCAGAAAATATTTTATCCTCATTTGTAAGATTGATTTTAGCGACTAATTTGTCATCTAATGATGTCCCTATTTATTTAAAACATGGGTGTAAAAAGCTAAACAATGTGTTCTCTGCACATTTACTGCTTTTGAATTTCTAAACCTTTTTCATGTAAGTTTTAAATACTTACAAAAATGTTGAATTGTGAACTGCCACTAACATCAGACTTATCTTGTCAGAAAATGCATTTCTCAGAATGAAATACATAGTGTCCAGTATACTGTTGTTTCTGTATATAAGAAAGATGTGAATTTACATTAGATAAAAGAAGGCCACAGTTCTCATTGGGTGGCAAAAGGACATTTGAATATCTATCTAGGCCAATAACTTAACAATTACTGGAAACCGTACAAAAAAAACACCAATATATTATTCCATTATTGTGCTTTTTTGCTGTACCTGATTCTAAATTTATGTTGCATAAAGTGATGTTATGTTTGATGATTAAAATACCTAATGCTTCTAATAAACTGCCATGGGTTTAATCATATTGTCTGTACGTACTGTAGTCTTTAAAGTAAATATTTCTCTAGCCCTCATGAACTTGGAACATGTATCTTTTTGACATAAATAATGTAAGAATATTGGTGATCCAAATTCATTGCTATTGCAAATAACTCAGGAATACAAATTAATAATAAACTGCCAATTATACAAAATGATCTTAACCATATTTCATTATTGAAATGAATGTTCACATAAAGGCAAATATTTTAACATGCTTTTATTCTGGAAAGAGAGAATCTATTTTGCTCTGAAAAGCCAGGCCGGAAGTGGAACATTGTTTACAAATAGAAGCTGCTTTCTGTTAGCGCGTGCTTTGAAGATAAATGTTTTTTTCCCCGTTCATTTTTTGACTTTTCTTCTGACAAAAACGGCCACCAACGAGTTGTCTGCAGCATCACCACCATGACAATGTATCAAGAAGTTATATTAGTTTAAACAATTACCTGCACAACAGTTAGCTAACAGTTAGCTCAAAGGTGTTCTGCAGCATGGCAGCTTGATTCATTTCGGCAGGTGTTAGTTACAGGGAGGACAAGTCTGTCTCTACAGGCTGCACGTCCTTCACTTTTCCGAGGACAGTTTAAGGTTAATATTCTCCGTTTTAGCAGCTAGGTTAGCTATTAGTTAGCTTT